AGGAGTTATATGTCGATGTCGATGTAATCAGGAACTGTATAACTAATAAACAGAAGGTTGGTTGTTGGTTACTGTACAGCAAAATATAAACAAACATTCAGCATGAAGTTAAAGCAAATAACCTTAACATACGACAACAAGTGCTCGAACTCAAAATCGGATACACAACTACCACAACAATAAAACTTAGTTAATAACAGGTAAAACTTTAAGTTTCCGCAGGGTGTTTTTTCATTTTTTCTTTTGTATTTTTGTTTTACCAAGAGTAAGTCACTGTAACTAAAAGACATTGTCAATTATACAATTGATCGATACATTACGTTGGTTTCATGTCACTCCTTGAAGATTGCCCGTGGAAAGGTGAATGTATGAAGAACAGGGAGACATGGATGATTGGCTGCATCAAATACCGGTGTAGAGTAAAACAGGACACAGCGAAGGTCATGGTCGCAAAGAAGGGTAAGTCAAAAGTATTTACGGTATGCACACGTACTGAGTATCACCGTATACACAAATGTCAATTCCACAAATACTTGTGATACTAGGCTAAAAAGGGAGAAAAACATTACATATATCGATTATATAGGCTAACTGATGTAACAAAACGTCACATTTATCTATAAAAACTGCTACCATATATATCAATACATTATATTTATCAATATTTTATAAGAGATAAAATGTTACAAAACATAACATTGATCTATATTATGTGACCTAAATGATGTAAGAAAACGTGAAAACATGTCATTGGTGTATATTAAATACATTAAATGATGTAACAATACGTTCAGAAAATCTGTTCACACTCTTAAAGCGACTACGGTATTTTAAACGTTGATAAAACGACATATTCATTTTATTTTTTTCCCCAATATTTTTATTATCCCAGCCATAAATATGTATATTTATATATATACTGCTTGCAAGCACAGATATATATACACATATACACATATTTTGACAGAGGCTGCAATGGGTTGGGGAGCCCTGGGTCAGCCGCTGAGCAATATGGTGTCCTATCGCAGGAGGACTCTTATTCAACATTCATCAGTCATTCTTTCTCCGTTCAATTTATTTGTATTGAGTAAAAAACTAGAGAGGGTGATGGGAAATTAAAAAAAATACAAATAGAGTACAGGACAAGAACACAAAACATACTTCTTTCACACCCTAACAAACTCCATATACAACATAATATTACAAACAAGGATAAGCTAGGTAAATAACTCTAGAGTACTAGTATACACAATAACCTAATACAAAATATAAATACATCTACATATATACTCGTACACCCATACATATATACATTGAGAGAGACCGACAGACAGACATACATACACAAATACATTGAGACAGACATACAAATGCATCATTATGCATGCATATTTTCGAATAATTAAGAAACCGGAATAGAAACACAAACTTATCTTGACTCAACTTGTGCAAACCAGTATGAATGACACCACAATTATAAGTTAAATACCATAACATTGAATTTAAGTAATTGAAAAACAACTATCAGTATAACATCACTGCAAAAATATTGAACAAGAAACCAAAAATGATATGCATGCATGCACATTTACATATCAATGTATAATTCTAACAGCTTGATAGGCCAGCTACAAACGTAAATTGAAGAACTTTATCAGAAAAGGCTGATTGTTGTGAATAGCTTGTGAAACTTCGTATTCATAATGCAATCAACATTCAATATACACTTTATAATTCTTCATTTACGCATACAATATTACGTTACATCAAGCTTTACAACAGTGAAGCTTCAGTTGTCTATTCTCTATTATGGCTTAATACACCTACATAGTATGGAAGTTTCTCTGGTATAAACAATGACGCTGCTTCAGGTTTCTATAGCAGTATAAGATATTGTAGATTTAGTTGTATATTGAATATCAAGATATTCAGCTTTAGTTGTGTATTCCCTTTTGTAGGGTGCGAATGGCTGGGTGACAATAAATGCTACAAGTTGGGTACCAAAAAGACTGCATCGTGTATGCTGTACCAATGTAAAGAAGATCCAAACGGAGCCATAGGATTCGTGTGAGTAAGTCCAGGTAAGCAAGGTACTGCTAGACAGATATCCGTATGTAAGATTAGCACTGTGTAACTGTCATCTGTATGTTAGATAGCACTTAGCTTAGGGTCAGATATCCGTATGTAAGGTTAGCACTGTGTTACTGTCATTTGTATGTTAGATAGCACTTAGCTTAGGGTCAGATATCCGTATGTAAGGTTAGCACTGTGTTAATGAGGTAAGTTATCTGTATGTTTGATAGCACACAGTTCAGGGTCAGATATCCGTATGTAAGGTTAGCACTGTGTTAATGAAGTAAGTTATTTGCATGTTAGATAGCACTTAGTTCAGGGTCTGACATATTTCTATGGGTTAAGCACTGTATAACTGGGGTCAGATATCCGTATGTAAGGTAAAAACTGTATTACTGGGGTCAGATATCCGTATGTAAGGTAAAAACTGTATTACTGTAGTCGTAGTGCTGGGGTCAGATACATCTATACAAGGTCATCACTATATTACTGGGGTCAGATATCCGTATGTAAGGTGAAAACTGTATTGCGGATCACTGTGGTCGTATTTCCGAGGTCAGATACTTCTATATAAGGTAATCAGTATATAACTGGGGTCAGATATCCGTATGTAAGGTAAAAACTGTATTACTGGGGTCAGATATCCGTATGTAAGGTAAAAACTGTATTACTGGGGTCAGATATCCGTATGTAAGATAAAAACTGTATTACTGGGGTCAGATATCCGTATGTAAGGTAAAAACTGTATTACTGCGGTCGTATTTCTGAGGTCAGATACTTCTATATAAGGTAATCAGTATATAACTTGGGTCAGATATCCGTATGTAAGGTAAAAAACTGTATTACGTATTACTGTGGTCGTATTTCTGAGGTCAGATACTTCTATACAAGGTAATCACTGTATTACTTGGGTCAGATGTTCGTATGTACGGTAAAAAAACTGTATTACGTATTACTGTGGTCGTATTTCTGAGGTCAGATAAATCTATATAAGTTAAGCACTGTATTACTGGTGTCTGATATCCGTATTTAAGGTAAAATCTGTATTACTGGGGTCAGATATCCGTATGTCAGGTAAAAACTGTATTACTTGGGTCAGATATCGGTATGTAAGGTAAAAACTGTATTACTGGGGTCAGATATCTGTATGTAAGGTAAAAACTGTATCACTGTGGTCGTATTTCTGAGGTCAGTTACTTTTAAATAAGGTAAGCACGTATTACTGGGATCAGATATCCGTTTGTAAGTAGGTAGGCTTGTCCTGAGAGAAATTATTTATTCCCATAGCCATGTAGACACACGTTTTTTTTATTATTACCCAATGAATGCTCAACAAAATGTCAAATTGTTAAGTTGGGTTTTTCAATAACGAATTTCCACTGATCTTCGGAAATAGTCACAATTTTAAAAATGAGTCTTGATTAATTTTGCAATTAGCGAGCTACTGAATTTCTATATTAACACCAAACGGAAAAAAATAGAATAGAAAAAAAGTAAAGTGCATAATCTAACATAATTACACTCTGTTTGTGAGCGCATTGCTAAGTTAACATATAGTCACACATATTTTAATGTAATCCGATAAATATTGTCGATTTGATTAACTTATATAGAGCATGAAGCAATAAGATGTGTATTTATGTAACACATTACGGCACAAACGTAACCAACACTCTGAAGTCTGCTAATCTTGTATACACGCATCGACATATGAACCAATTTGGATACAATACTGGTGGTAAATTCCCCTTTGTAAGTGTTCTCTGTATTTCTATAATCAATGTTTCATTAACCACTGCAAACAGCATGGAAGTAATGCTTGAATTATCCATGGCTGGACCCCGCCTTTAACTATCACATCATAACTACTATCATTGTCTTTTTGTAGCTAAGATTGAATACTTTCGTTGATATTGTCACCTTCATACTGTCTAAACTTAATCCTACATATGTATTCTCACACCTTTTCCCCTTATGAGTCCTCATGTAGTCGATTCCATCGTTTTTAATACTATCAGATCCCATTCAACATTTTATAAATGTATGTCTGTGAGCGATGTTGACATTTCACTCGTAAGCCTGATTGTTCACGGAGCAGTTTGTTTACTGACTAAAAGTATTGTGAACGATGCGATACATGGCCATTTATCATTCAATACTTGATACTATATAGAATATAGTCACTTATCCAGTTTAATATCATGTGATTTGCTTAATGTATAATAATAACCATCAGCTTACTTGATCAAACTCAAATACAAAGAGTCTCCACTGCCTAAGGTTTTACATGTCAAGGCTAAATCATTTCTCCATAGCCTTTTCTAATTAAAGTGTTTTCTGAATAGTCCTGTTGACCAAAATCTTCCTTGGAATTCCTTAGAATGTTTCTATGTGGAAAGCTTCCATCTCTCCTTGAAGAAAGTTTACGATATTTATCATAAGGAGACTTATATGATGTGTTTGATGAAGATTTTATAATCGTGCGGCAAGGTAACGGTAAAATAAGCAGATATCAGCCAAGCGATTGTTCAGGTTTTTATACCCGAAACGCATGCCTTCGATTTAGTCATGACATATTCCAGGAGTGCAGAGAAGATCAAGAGTAAAACTCTTGGATTTCGAGGATGTTGTCATCCATGATTGTGGAGCTGAGGACGTTATACTACTTTCCTAGATTTGACAGGATACATCATATCGTGTACCTCAAGTGGCACAGGAAACGCCTACTCTTCTGGGGCTTCTACTTCCAACTCCTTTGTAATGATGGTGTTCCTGTAATTGATGTTTCGTATCGACTTTGAGTTTGGATTATGTCGTTTTGTGTTGACGCAATGTTTGTTCTAATTTACGTATTGTATGTCCATTTAAGGATGTAATAAGATTGGCTCACGGTTATGTGTGAAGCCTAAGAAACAGTGGTGGGATATCGAGACATGTCGTCATTTCACCTGTGTTTTATCAACGGACGACAGTGGAAACGTTGTCGGAACACAGACTCAGGACGAGCAAGGTCAGTTTGTATAAAAGATCATGTATCAATAAAATAAAGCGGATTTTTATGGTTCAAAATAATTTAAAATGTTATTCCTTTTCTGCGTAACGCTGTAGTGAAACAATCTTTTCATTTTGGAACGATAAGAAAAAGATATACCAGGGATAAGCCGGTGTTTGGCAGAGAAATGAATAATACTGATAATAAAAAGTGATATTAATTCTGAATTTCGGTGCGTGAATTACCAAAAGAGAAATTACTTGTATTTGTGGTTTTTGGAATAATTCAATTGACTATGCACTAGTACTTTAGCTTTACCAATATCATTTTCACCCACTATATAAACTGGTAGAGTGAATTTAGTATTGTTAGTTTATGAGATTACATGACACGTTAACGCATACCTATTATTTCTTTTGTTTTCTTTAATAATATTTCGTTTTTCATATTTTGATGTTGACATTTTGATGTGGACATTTTGATGTCTGTGCATTCGTTTATAATTTTTTCTATTGATACGTTGGTTTCTGTTAGTGGTGTCGTTATACAATATCACAATATACGATCTATATGATATGCACGCATTGTAGGGTGTGCGGGAATAAACAACCCTAAGACTTGTCATGAGGTGGGCGACACTTGGTTGGAGTTTTCCCGTATGGACAGGACTTGTTTGCAGTACACATGTACGACGAAAGGACCGACTGTACAGGTTCCAAAAGGAGGTAATTATAATCTTAAATCGTAACTTATTTTAATCTAGATTGTATGTATAGATAGGTCATCAGTATATTTCAACAACATTATTTTGGCTATTAACTGACAAAAAGAATAACAAATCAACATTAAATGATAAAATACCCATAAAATGTTGTTCGATAAAATAAATGTATCTGGAAGGTATTGTTAAGGCCGCTTGTAAATTCTGTACGGTTTGATACTAAGCTGTGAACAGGACGATTTCGATGGTCAAATCGTGGTCTTTCCCTTCATTGATAGTAATTCCCCATCTTCCCCAACCACGTATCATAGTTGATTTGTTATTCAAAAGCATGCTCCAGATATGATTTCTGTGATAAATGTCGATTGCTAACGGGCAAACTTACAACACAAGCTTTCCGAAGATGCAGTTTGACTATGAACTGTGATATCATTGAGAATTATGCTATTTATTTTTGTGATATGAAGATTTATGTTTTTAACAATGCTCATTGGTGTGCAAAACCTTATATTTTTTTCGTTGCAAATCTTTAATTGTCACCTAATAAATATTTCCTTTTCTCGAATCAGAACTTGAGTTCAAAATACAACTTTGTTTACACTTATGCATATTTTTGTTTTTTTTATGTTTAAAATAAATTTCAATGTTTTGAGGCATTGAATGTAGTTCCTTCTATATGATGAAAATTAATACCATTGACAATATGTGATTAAACCTATTTCACACTGTCCTTTCCAGCATGCTTCCATGAGGGAGAGTGTCTTAAAAATGGAGAGGAACATGATGAGGAACATGCACAATGTTTCTGTAGGGACGGGGACCTTTTGTGTCTCGGCATTCCAGCTACAAGTGCCGAAGGAACCACTAACAAACCAACTATTATTATCGATTAACATTGAGAAACCAAGTAACAAGACAACATCATACTGTAATCATAACTACGTGTATTGATTTTTGAATAAACCATACGTTTATCTCGGCTACATGTATTGTTTAAGACACTCTCCCTCATGGAAGCATCCGGGAAAGGATATTTAAAACTATGTATCGCTATATATATATATATATGGGACAAAGAAGTAATTTCATATTTACCGGGCCAGATTCCCACATGCACATGTTCCACGTTTTTGATATCTCGTCCCATCTTTCTGGTGCTTATCTCTCGTTGACTCACTTTATGTGATAGTACATCTGGCGTAAGAATATGTCCTCTACATCAGCGTTCCTTGTCCGCGATGCTCTCAGCTTAGTTGCTGCCTTCGGCTGTCTTTAGCCGAGGGGACTATTGGTTTTATATACTAGCTATATTTTCAATTATAGTATATCAGTTCCATCTTCTTGTAATTTGATGTATATGTAAATGTAAGTGTTCTGTTTCACTGTGTCTTGATAAAGGAGCGGATTGCTCCGAAAATTTGACAACCTTAACTTGTCCACACTGTTGAAATTACTTCCTTGCCCCATATACTATTTTAAGTAATTCGTATCCTACGGACATACCTCCATTAGGATCCAGTGTTATATGGGATTTTGCCGTCTATATTACTTCTTTGACCCATATATATATATAATAATAATAATAGACAAGAGTTTCTTCGACTTCCCTAGCGCAACAGATAAAAACGGNGGCAAAAATTTAAATAAAACAAAACACGAAGACTTGTGTAATCGACAAGCATGTCAGCCCATCTTCGGGCTCTTCAGGCGATTTAAATTTATTTTTGACGTCATAAATGGATTACACATACTTAAGACGTCAAAAATAATGACGTCATAAAAAGTAAACATTATACGGACGTCTAGAAATTGCAACGTCTTAGAAAGATTACATGAATGTATTTGCATCAAATGCGTCAATGAAATATATGGAAAAAGAAACGGAGCATGTTACAAATACTCAAATGAATACATTGTTCAATAGTAAAAGTTAAAACATCTGATGGTAAAAATGAATTTCAAAGCACAATACTTAGTTCATCCGAACATATTAACATACGTAATTTGTAAATTCAAAATTTACAAGAGGTGCTCGAAATTTCCTGTAACTTTAAGACTTATAAGAGGTGCTCGAAATTTCCTGAAAATTTAAAATTTTATATTTGTCAGATATTCCGCTAGGCCTTTCTGCCTTCTCGGGCTTCTTCAGGCGGATTGATGTATATTTATCACCGTTGGTTACATGACGTCATCAATATTTCCATAGTCAACAATTTTAGTGACGTCATCAATAAACAAGCATAGTGACGTCACAAAAATTACCAGGATAAAGAAATCATCTGCATACAATACATTGTAAAATCATTGTGCATTCAAGCTGGGGTTGAGGGCTGTTATAAACATGTTTTCTTTAAATTATCTTGCAACTATATCGTCCCTATTCAGTTTGTAAATAGGTAACATATAAAAATCATCTTAAGAACATTGATATATATGTTTGCTAACTTTTAAAACTCTTAGTGCATTGTCCTTTATTTGTTGTCTGTGTACATTAATTCGTAGTCTCAATTCACAAAAGACGAAGGCGGAGGATCTCAAAGAAAAAACAAATAAACATTCTATTTCTAGGTTCATCAAGACAGATTTGTATTTGATGTAGTTAACACGAAATGCACATTTGAATTGTGGCAAAACGAATTCGCCCAGTTTAACAAAACTATGAACCAAATGTACTTTTGATCAATTCTCTCCCAATATTAAGAACAGGCTCATATGAGGCAATTGAATTGTTTGCTAATTTATATTTTTTTTGAATATAAGCTGAAATAACCAGTTTTATAATTGTTGTAAAATAAATAGTTTACAATCAGACTTTTGTGAACTACAACAAGGTGCTTGCTATTAACTGCCCACTGTTCGAGCAACAAACGCACACTTCGAACAATGCAATAACTGGTTGACTCAAACTTTTATTGATCTATAATGACATACAAGTATCGATAATTCAGTGTCTATTCAGAACACATGATCGTGAGCATGAAGTCGTCGTGTGTATTATAAAGTTGTAGTTTAACACATACTTGCAGCAATGCATCCTAAAAAAATCAACAAATGTGTCATTCTAAGGAACATGTTTCAACATCGAATAACATTAATTAAGTAAATAATACAATAAACACATATAATTAACTAATGTATAATCTAAATATGAAAAACTGTCCAAGTTGTTTTGTGGACTTTTTTAATCTTACATCTATTAGTTCAAATGGTATCGCTAATATTTAATCATTGGTACAGGTTTACGAAAATATTTCTACCGTCAACAACGCTTTAATCGTTTTCGTAACCTTACGACATAACTGTTCTCAAAAACATAACTAGAAATACACTTTTGATGAAAATAAATAAACAAAAGAATATCATGTTAATATGCGATCCCAGAGCCATCCAGTCTAGGTCAACTTTGCCATCGGTTGATATATTTGAACCGATGGTTTTGTCGTCACTTCCACAATTTTTATCCACGTGCTCATCGTTTTTCATGGCGACACTTGTTTTCCTAGATAGATGCAGTTTTAGCCACCAACTTTTCACACTAACTCTTCCTTTTCGGGACGCCAGACGTAAAGTGATATTAGACAAACAAGTCTCAAAACCACCGAGGCAGAATTGGACTATCAGGAAAACCGTGAATAAGCAAGTTTCAGTCGAGGTTACAGGAAGGGAATCCTTCACTGGTCCAATGAAGACAGCAAATGCTAGGAATATTGCTACCCCAAAGGAAGTGTTCTCTCCTGAATTGATAGGAAGGATGAAAACAAAACTGTTCATGTATGACAAAAGTACGATTGGTATGAATGTATGAACTATCTGATAAAATGGCCGTCTTCTAACATGCAGTCTAAATTTAATAGACGATAAATTGGTGGGCCCGATGGATTCCACATTGACTGACGACTCCAGATATTCCCATTCTGTGTTCGTTTCAAGTTCACCAACGAAGATATCTTTGTTGCTTGCTATATATTTCTGATTATTGGCACCCCATGTCATCATATTTAATGTGCAATTTTGCTCGTCAAATGGGTATTTAGAGACGGAAATTTTACAGGAGGTCGTCAAGGTTACGTCAGGTACCCACCATGTAGTGCCGTCTGAATGTACAGCAACGCTTGCACTACTCTTCCTGATAATATTCCGGTCTCCCTTCGAATTCAACATATTCGAATCCGGCAGCCATATCATCGATTTACTTACTACAACGTTTGAGATAGGATATTCACTCACATTCCACGATAAAAGTTCATTCTTCCAGGAAAAAACAAACCATCCCCTTGTTCGCATTTCCTGATTTTCTTCTCCTATTTCGAATGACGAAAGACAAAACGTTACACTCACAAAAACTAATGAATTATAATCTTTGACAGGTCTGATGTATATATTGTGGTCACTAAAAAGGTTCTTCAATAAAGCTGCTTCGATAGTGTCACTCCCAAACGTCATGTTTGAATAATAAACAACTGATATAAATAACGGGATAATCCACCAAAACATGAAATTTGACTTAGATGACATCTTGGTTGATGACATAGAAGTTGTCTACTTGTTGAAGATCCCTGCCGTATGTGATACCACTGCTAGCAGGAAGACAATGACGAATTCAAACCTATTTATAAGTATACCATGGAGTTTTCCTTGTTTGATATCAGTTCATGTTTGCTTAACTAATAGCAGTCCCACTCGTATTTTCTATATTGACATATTCTAATATATCCATTTTTATATTTTATAGTAGATGAAACATCATCAAGTTGTCCTTTATGTAATCGAGAGATGTAAAAGCTTTACATAAAAGGATACCTATTAAACTGGGTCGTTTATATTTATACCAGATGAGAAAACTCAAATATTGATAAAACGGTATGTACTATTGAACTAGCATCTGTATTGACACACGCTTCTATAGAAGCTTCATATCTGAATCCTATGAGACAATATACTTTGATTAGACAGGTGAGAATGGATGACAAAGAAATCAATACATTGGTTTTGTACATTAATACAAATTTCCAAGTCCATTCTATACCATTTACATAATGGTCATTAAGCATTTTTTTCTTCTGTCGCACGTCCGAAAAGGATCAAGTGTTTTACACAAAAGGGTATTTTACGTTTGTGTTGACCGATCAATCTCTGGTATAGAACCCCAATAGTTACAATAATACAGATATGGCGCTGTTGCACTCATCAGATATATGGCTCCCCGATCATGGACTGTACAACTCCATGGACAGTGTTGAGTTATCACACAACAGCGATACTAAGATACGAGTTATGAACACTGGAAGTGATCTCCATGATCACTTTTCTCCATATTGTGTGATATATCGATCAGGAAATTCCCATTTGATACACAGACATGCATATTCAATACTGGCCCTACATTTTGGCTTCCAATCTTGAAGATTAGTAATCCTGTCCATGACAAAATACACCTGAACTTTTATCGTGAAAGTTCCGAGTGGTCAATCAGCACTTCTGACATATTTGGTTATTAAGATCAGGTATCTATTTGTAACGGCAGTATAACGGTTACCAGAAGGTCCACGGACTACATGATAATAGGGTGGTCGGGTGGTCGGGTGGTGCAGTGGATAGCGCACTTGCCTTTGACCAAGGCGGCCGGGGTTCGATTCCCCGATCGGACGTGAATAGGTTGGGGTCACCTGCCCGACCATGTGAGTTTTCTCCGGTTACTCCCGTTTCCTCCCACAATAAGACCACCCACGCGCTAAAAACCGGGCCAACAAGAGTGACGAATATAAGTTGAGATCAATTGTTTCATAATTGTTTATATCTATACATGATACTATCGTCTTTCTACT